GTCTGTTCGGTGAGAAAGACACACCGACGTTTTCTGCTCCCACATTTTACCTCTTGGCTTCAGAGACATGTTGGAGTTTCTTTCAAGAAAGATTAGAAAGGAAGTCGTTAAAATAAGCATCACATTTTAGTCAGTCCTTCTATTAGATTTGCTATTTTGATTCTTTTATTAGTAATCATAACTATTATTTGTCAGTGTACTTCAAGTACCAAACAAAATTATTTAAGGAAAAATAAAAAATAAGCTGCACTGACTTGACTTCAGAAGTGATCAGAGTTTAAAATGTTTCTTTGATTCCTGAAAGGAAATCAAAATATGTTTCAAGATTCATTTTGAGTTCACACCTGTTTTAGTGAAAATTATGAAACTGGAAGATTTTAGAGGAGTTGGTGAGATTCCTGATATTTGGTAAAATGGAAAAGAACAAAAATGTGTTACTGAAGAAAGGTAACAGTCAGGAGGAGAGAAGAAAAAATGGATGGATGGATGGATGGTTGGATGGACGGACGGACGGACGGATGGATGGATGGATGGATGGATGGATGGATGGATAACTGGATGGATGGATAACTGGATGGATGGACTGGTTCCCCCCCAGTGAGTAATCTGATTACTTCCTGCTCTGTGCAGACGGGCGTTCCAGCAGTTCTACAAGGAGCACGTCGGTTACTCCTGTCCCACTGAGGACATCTTCATCGAATGACCCGTCCTCCTCCTCATCATCCTCTTCCTCAGACTGAAGCCTCACCGTGTGCATGCTACGCCCGGACTGGACCACCAGAACTTCCTCTCTGCATGGTGGGTTCATTCAGCGTTCTGACCGGTCCGAGTGGCCGGGCGAATCCCTCTGAGGACCAAAACGACTGAACTCACTGAAACGTCCCCAATAATCACTTTATATTCACCATTTATTAACAGAAGTTATTTACATGTACCCATGCTTGGATATTTTACTCACCGTTTAAAACTTCAGTCACAGACAAACAATTGGAAAAATCACTAAAAGGACACAAAACAGCAGAGATGCTTTAAAAGACCACTAGGTGGCGCCAAACAGCTTTAAAAGGTGGAAACAACTTGAAGGAGAAGAAGAAGAAAGCTTCAAAACTAAACAGATAAAAAAGGCACAAAAAGCTGCTTTTACTCTAATATTAGTGCAGCTTGCAGGCCCACAATCCAAAGGTAGTCTATATTAAACGTTTCAGAAAAAAAAAAATGTTTTTTTGCAGCTTGAATAATAAAAAGATAATTTATAGAAGGCCTCATACAGTGATGGCATATTAGGACCATTCTGGATAGAAAAAAACGAGTAAATTTCCACCGAAAAGCTCAGAAATTTTTAGCTTGATCTCAAGTTTCCTTATTTTTTCTATAAATTTTCTAGAAAAATCTCAGCAATTTGAGCTTTAAAAGGTGAAAATTTGCTTGAAGAAAAATGCTAATTTTCTAGAAAAAAACAAGAAAATTATTGAGCTTGAAAAGTCAACAAATTGGCAAAAAAAAAACTCAGAAATGTTTAGATAAATCTTAGAAATTTTCTAGTAAAAATACTTGGAGATTTCTGAGTTTCAAAAGTCAAAAATATTCGACTTGAGTTTTAAAGTTGAAAATGTCGGACTTTTGAAACTCAGAAATTTCCAAGTTTTTTTTTTAGAAATTTTCTGAGATTAATCTGAAAATTATTTAGTTTTTTTACAAGCAAACTTTTGACTTTTTGAGCTAAGAATGTCACTGTTTTTCTAAATCATTTCTGAGATTATTCTCAAAATTATTGAGTTTTGTTGGTGGAAATTTTACTCCCTTTTTTTCCTCTATCGACGGTACGACGTCGTATCGTACACACAGAGCCCGGTCTTTACAAAACCAAATATCTCTGCTGCATCTTTTAAAAAAAATCATACACACGGGATTGGTTTCAGAAAAGTTTTCATCCACATGAACCTGCACAAATCCGCCCCTCTGCGTTGTTTTAACCATGCCAGACCCATAGGGGGCAGTGTAGCTCTTAGCTTACTTTCTCCAAATGTCCTAAACAATCCGAAAGGATTCATCAGAGAAGGGAATCTTCACCTGAAAGTGAAGCTGCAGAGTTGGGAGAACAACATTTCTGCTGCTGCAGAGACATTTGGAGCTTGGCTGCATGATCTGTGGAGACCATGAACATCTGAGGCGTCTCTGATTCCTCTTCCAGCTATAAAATACAACACAAGTTATTTTAATGAAACAAAAGCAGGTGAAATTTTAAACATTTATAAACAAAAAAATCTGTAAAATGTATCAGTTTGGGACAATTTAAAACTAAATATTATAATTAAGTTTAAGATGTTTTATCTACACCTAAGTGGGGCTTAATATGGTTTAGAATAAAAATTATGCATGCCTTCAAATCTAGAGAGATCTCCTTCAGCTATATTTATGATTTTATTAAAAGCAAAATAGATTTCTAACACAAACAGAAATAGTGTTTTAAGGGTCTGCAGCTGCAGGATGAATCAACGGAGCAGATTTTTATCTCCACAGTGACGGAGACCTTCATCTGCTCGTCTCTTTGCACACGCTGATGTTTCCAAAAAACGCAAAACAAAACACAGACTCTGTATTTTCTAACATTTAGACTCGACAATCTTCTGTTTTAATGGTGAAGGTGCCTCATTTATGTTTGCTGCTTTCCTTTTGCTTCCAAATGTGACTGAAAACGTTCACACAGGGTTCCTGCAGCTGAGCAACGAGTCAAGGCCGAAATGACGCTGTGCAATCTGTGTGTGTGTGTGTGTGTGTGTGTGTGTGTGTGTGTGTGTGTGTGTGTGTGTGAGCGAGAGGATGCTGATGTTTCTTCTGCTTTATCTGCTCAAACCTGGATTGAATATTAAACATTCAACTTGAAACAGATAGGACCAAAAAGGAAAATGTTTTGAGGTATTGCAACAAATAAGATAATTTCAGACAAGAAATAATGACATGTGAAATAAGGAGGTGGTAATAATGCTGACAAAAATTTTTTTCTTAAAATGCAGCAACATAAAGGAAACCCCAATAAACTTTGTTCATAAAACAGCTCTAAACACGTCCGACTCAAAATGTATTTATAACGGAGTTTTTATTTACATCCCAGTTTTAAAGGGGAAGCATTATGTATTTTCCTGGCATTTAGTGCAATTTTATAGCACAATCATATATGTATGAAATATATAGTATATATATCAAATATGTCATCACAATTTATGCCTTGAAATTGGGTCTCTGTCTCTTTAAAAGCTCCTGCTTTTTCTAAAACTCAGGAAGCTGTAACAACATGGCTCCTCTATTAACCCTTTAACCCATTTTTACCGGTGTTTCACTGAGAAGTAGCTCCTATAATGAGTTCAGCAGAAGCTCAGTTCAGCAGCAATTTGCTAATTGCTGCTGACTAGTCTGAAGGAGATAAAAGGGGGAGGAGCTGTGCCTTGAATCAGGTACGTAGAACCAAAATGTGCAAATTTAAGTCTAGCTGCTGCTTTTGGATGAAAGCTGACAGCGGCAGTAATCATCCTGACGTCACTGAGGGAGCTTTCATGTTGCGCTGCCCTCTGGTGGCTGCGTCCGTCATTGCAGCCTCAGCAAAACAAAGTTGAAACTTTTGGAGTTTGAGCAGATAAAGCCTGAGAGGGTGAAGCACCAAAAATGTTTTTATTTCCATGTTTGATAACAGTGCCTGTTTTTCTTTTTTTTTCTGCACTAACTGACCCACTTCAGAGACACAGAACCGAACCTGAAAAAAGCAAACAAACAAACCAAACAGCAGGTTGTGTTCAGATGAGTGGTCCTGCGGCTCGGTGCGACTGATCGCCTCAGAGCTGGTTGCTGTGGAAACGGTCCTAAGACTTAGGTTGATAGCTGGCATGTTTCTGCAGAAAAAGGTTTTCTCAAACACGCATGGAAGAATCAAAGCAACACTCCAGGTATGTTTGTGATGAGAAAATAACATAATAAAATGATGTAATGCTAAAAAAAAAAGTCTGTTTTAAATTAGTACTGCCCCTTTAAGTCTATATAAGAAGAGGATAAAACCACCTTAAAGATAGAATCCATATTTTATTGTCAAAAAAGATTTTATGCCTTATTTAAATCAAAGTATGATCCAGAACTAAGTAAAAAAAATTCCAAAAACTTTTTATTAAAGCCCCTTTAAAAAAAAAAAAAAAAAAAAAAAAAAAAAAAACACTCTTGAACCCAACTGCCTCTTCGGCCATAATGGAGAAATGTAGCTGTGTCTCGTTTCCATGGCAACCACCTGAGGCGCACCACTCTGAGCTGCTCCTCCAGGAAGTGTCCTTTCTTTGCGTTCCAGCTCTGTGACTCTTAACAGCACGAACATTCACTGTACATACGCCATCATCTTCATCATCCTCCTCATCACAGAGTCTCCTGTATAAATCCTGTATGTATGTTTGTATAGGAGGTATTACCATACGCTGTGGCTGGGTGTAGCGCCGCATGATATCAGTGTTGTAAAATGAAGAAGCTCAGACTGAAGCTAACTCTGGGTTTTCATGTCAATAAATCAAGTTTACGACAAAAGTCTCAGATCATGGTATGTTTATTTGATTTATTTAGAGATTAATGGTGAATTTGGATTTTCTGTTGTTAAATGACAGTTTGTTGAAAACAATAATTTATTCATCACTGAAAATTTCCTTGTTAGTTCTGAACTTCGTGTTTAATCTGGTTTTTGAAAATTAACATTGTGGCCTTGTGAATTTAAACAGTTTTGTATTTTAATTTGTAAAATTGTGATGTAAAAGATGCATTTAGTTTCTGGCTTTTTGTTAGTTTTTACAAACCTTTTCTTTCTTTTTGTTATATTATTCATCTTAAAGCAAAAGTATATTTTCTGTACAGAGTTTCTACAAGGTCTTGATTTTTCCAGAAAAAATCCCACAGTGTTACATAGAAGTGAATAAAAACTGCCTCCATATCAATTTGACATTAATTCTAACCAATAATGACCCAGAAACCTTTAATGGCATCACAGTTACATCTTTTATTAATCAGTGAGGGAAGCTGCAGACATTTTGAATTAGATTTTAAATCATTTCATAGTAAGAAGTCATAATTGCATAAACAGGTGACTGACACAGGGTTAATATCTAATTTATCATAAACATCTAACGCAGCAGCAGGTCAGAAACGAAGAAGAGACGCTTGCAACTATTGACTACATGAATGGGACGGACTGATTTAGTATTTCTACATTTATTCATATATGACATCTTCAAGAACAGATAGGCTACATGTTGTTTGTAAGGTACATTCATAAAATGTTTGCTTTGTTGTCAACATTTCAATAGAGCTTGTTTTCCATAAATACCACAGATGTAACGATCTAAAATTTTGACATTAGCAAACGCAAAACTGAGCTTTACATCAGAAATATTACTTTAAGAAACAAAGATAAAAATAAAAGGTACAAACAACTGAAAAATGTTTCTGTTCACATCCAGATGCTCTTCAGATTTTACTTAGACTTATTAGTAATCTATTAAATTGTTCTCTGTGCTTTCTGAAGCTCTTTCAAAGTCCTTAATTATTGCTATGCAGCTGCATTGAATTTACTCAATCAGATAAAATTTATTTAAAAAGAACTTTATTAAACCTACTACTTTGATAAGTTCAGATTTAAAACTGATGTAACATTCATGGTGGCACAATGAAATGACAGCAGGTTAGCTTAGCACAAATTCAATTAGAGATAAAAGATTATTAGCTTTGCTTGAGAATGACTTGAGAGTTTTGTGTATAAAAATAACAAATAGCTCAAGAAAAAAAGAGGAACGCTCATGATTTGACCTAAACAAAGCTAAAATCAAGCTAATGTATTTTGGGCTAATTGTTAAACTAGCCTTAGCTATGTTTGGATAGCTAAACTAAGTTAACATAATGCAGGCTACAGAACTAACAAAACTGAGCAAAATTAGGAGATGCTAAGGAAAGCTAAATTAAAGCTAAGTCAGTTTATCTCTCACTTTATTTTAGCTTAGTGAACCTAAGGTACACTAAACTAACCCAAACTAAGTTAAATTAAGGTTTAGCTACCAAGCTAAGTTAAACCGAACTAAGTCAAGAAAGGTTAAGTTAAGGTAAACTAAGTTGAATCAAGCTAATCTGACATAAACTTAGTGAAGCTAACACATGCTAATCTTGGCTAAGCTACATTAAACCAAGAAAAACTAAATCAAAGTAAGCAAAGCTAGATTTGGGTTAAGCTAGGCTAAAATTAGCTAAGCCAACTATGTTACACTCAAATACAGTAAGAGAAGCTAAGGCAAGCTAAACCCAGCTAACCAGCTTAAAATATGTTAAGCTAAATTCCTCTGAAAATGCACAGCTACAAGAGTTCCAATGAAAATGAGTAAAACCCAAAGGGAAAAAAATGTGAACAGTTTCAGAAAGACTGAGAAAGTCTAAGATTGCACAAGAAAGTCTGTATCAGAAAGATAAGAGGCGCTGAATAATGAACTATAAACTTAAAAAATGAACGATATTTCTTAGTTTACAGAGAAAAAGTGGAAAAGTGTACAGATCAAATGATGTCACTTTGATATCTCTGTCATGCGTGTTTTTACGGCACTATCTGACGTAATGTGGGTTTGTATTGCAGTTTTTTATTAGAATGTGTTTGCCTGCTAAGACTAAGCCCTCCATATGGCGACTCTGCTCTTTGAGACGGACTGCATGGACCCGGTTCAGTTTTCAGAGGAGTCCGTTTCCTCGGTGGAGCCGTCGCTCTCCACCTCCATCTTCCTCCGGTGGTGGATGTTCCTGCGTGGGGAGGCGCGCCTCTGCACCTCCTTCAGCCCCCCAATGGCGCTGCCGCTGCTGTTGCTGCCGGGGCTCACAGAGATCTGAGCGATTCTGGGTTCATTCAGGCAGAAAGACAACTCTCAAAACACCACCACACATGCATTCATTGCACTGTTTACACTGCAAAAACAAAAGGTCCATATGTATTTCTGGTCGAGTTTCTAGTGAAAATGTCATACTACATTTGAAATAAGACAAAAACGTAACTTTTTAGCAAGATAAAGGAGCTTGTTTTAAGTAAATAATTCCTCATTGTTGATTAAAATGCTAGTTCCACTGGCAGATTATTTCCCTATATAACTCAACATTTTTCCCATGTTATAAGTGAAATAATCTGCCAGTTGAACTAGTATTTTTTCATCAATATTAAGTAATTATTTACTTAAAATGAGCTCCTTTATCTTGCTGAAAAGTTACGTATTTAGTTTTTGTCTCATTTCAAGTGTACTGAGATATTTCCACTAAGATATTACCAGTGTATTTGGTAATTTCACCTTGATAGGTTATTCAATCGTATTTTGCATACAACTAAAGCCAAATTAATTGAAACTAACAGTCATTCTTTATTTTTAATGTAATTCAGATCAAATTTTAATTAATTTTAGTGCAATATCGCTAATAAAACCCAGTGACTGTAAACTAAATGAGTTTGTTCTCACAGCTTGTCGAGTTCTTGGTCCATTTCTGGGTCGATGAGCAGCTCCTCCTTGCTGGGTAACGCTCCTGAAGCAGGTCACACACACAAACTCAGTTTATCTAATTCAAATTTAATCATGGAAATTAAATGTTGTTGTAACTCATATTAATTAAAAATTCTTCAGTCATTAGAGTTGGTGATGGCTGTGGGCAGGAAAGAACTCCTGCAGTAGTCTGTATTACAGCGAATTTGGAGAAGCCTCTGACTGAAGTCACTATGTTTTACTAAGAGTCTCAAAGAGGATAGTCAGGGATGTTCATAAGTTTCTTGAATTTGTATGAAATTCTTAAAATTTACAAAATTATAGACAACAATCAGAAAGTAAACAGAAAAAAATGGAAAATATTAATAAAAAAAATAATCTTCTTGTGTGGTAGAGTAAGAAACCATTTTGATTTAAGCATTCCTTTAGAGAATTTTAACCAGATAAAGTTAAATCTAGACCACTTGAGTTTTGGCTAAAACATATTTACAGAGGTGTTTTTATTTTAAGTGCTAAATGTATGTATTTTTTGTAAAATTTTGGCCTAATTATTGCTCTGAGTGTGTTGTTCTTTCAGTAAAAGATTTTTTTTTAAAATCTGTACACTGCAGTTAACAATCAATCACTAAATTACTTGACAATTACTGCTACAGTTCATACAGCTGGAATATTTTTGTTTTTTGGGTAAAGTTATGTGTGTTTCTGCTGAACCCACCGATCGTTTGGTTGATGCTCTCATGGTTGGCCAGACTCTGGAGGAAGCCGTAATAAGAAACTTTGTCTGTCTGCTCCAGTACTTCCCTCAGGCACGTCCTGGAGGGACAGCTGCTCGCAGAAAAACGTAAAGCATTCACAAAAACAACAGGCATGCTGCGATGATGAGACTTTTCATGGGCTGCTCACCTGTGCTTGAACCGTTCACAAAGTGCGTCCACACACTCAGCCAGCGTGGACGAATCCACGGCGTCCTGCTGCTGCTCCTCCCTGTCGCTCTCCTCTGTTGCCACGGAGACAAGCTGCTCGACGGAGGACGACGTGGGGACGATGACGGTGTTGGGACTCTTCCCGGCTAGCAGATCCTGGTAGATCACCTGGACGCTGTCCAGGAACTCTGCAGGACAACAACAGGAGGAACTGGTTCGTATTTGGCTCATCAGGAAAAAAAGGTGAAGAGGCGGACCAAACAGTTTGACCTAAATGTTGAATTTTCTTGTGTTTTCTGAACCGGCTGTACCTTGGTAGCAGAACTGCAGCTGGAAGGCATAAATGAAGTCAGAGAAAGACATCAGGCCATCAGAGATGTCGTCTGCCAGAACAATTCTGCAGAATGACAGAAAGAATAAAGCGAAGTTAACGAGCTGCACGTGGGAACAAGATGTCAAGAATCTGAATCTTTGAAAAGATCCAGAACTCTCATAATGGGCATGTTCAGGATGTTCTCTTTTCTACTTAACACATTGGATTTTATTTTTGCATTGTAAATCTGTTGCTTTATCCATTTAAAATTGATTTATTCTGGTGAAGTAACATCAGGGGTGGTCCCAGCCTGTTAATGCCCTGGGCCAAACAAGCTAGCACCTATCAGAGCAGCTCTAGTTTAAATATTTTCTCTCTTCATGGCGTTTTCTGATTAGCATCTCTGCTGAGTGCAACATGAAGCTGTTACCACCTGGAGGCGCTCTGCACTGCCTCCAGTGGGAAGTCAGGGCACAGCAGCTGCAGCAGGGACCTGTACTCCGGCACCGACAGCAAATCTACAACACAAGATGCACAGCAACAATCAGTACAGGAGGGGTCAAAGGTCAAAGGTTTCACAGCTTCATGTAAAAACTCAATAACTATAAAGTCGAACATGTTGACATTAGGTCAGCTCAGCAGAATAAACAAAGTATGTGACCAGATAAATTAGTAATTAAATACACATTAATATATTGCCATCAATTAATTTAAGTATTAGATTATTCATTTTGAAGAATTAGAAAAATAAATGTATTCATTAATTGTTTTTTGATGCAAAAATAGTGTCACTATTACAGTTTTGCTAAGTAAAAATCTACTTCACCTAGCGTAAAAACGTTTTATCAAAACACAAGAATTGTTTTAAATCGGTGTGTTTTCATTAAGCAAATGTATTTTTAAAATGTTAAATATGGTCAACAAAAATGCAGCAAATTACTGATCTGTCAGTAATTTGCATATTTTATGATTTCTCCTTTAGGTCATGAAATCTGCTCATTTGTCTGCTGCCACCGTGTTTCGTAAAAATTGTTGATATAATTTCTGATTTAGACTTCATCGTTTTAAGATGCTGCGGCATCGCCTCACTCACCTCCACTCTTGCCGATCTGCCTGAAGCATCTCCAGAAGACTCTGATGAAGGACGCTCTGTTGTGCTGCGTGGCTCTGATGTAGTTCAACTCCCTGAAGAGGACATGGTTGCTGTTCTTCACACTGCTGAAGCTAAAAACACACAAAAAACATGTTTAAGGAAGCAGTTCTGGTGTGATGGGCCCGACAGGAATGAAACCGAGTCATCTTCCAAATTAAATTAAACAATGTACTCACAGCCAGCGGGGTCAGAATGTCCAAATTTAAACTACTCACAAGCCACAAAATTCATTAAATTAAAAATGCAAATATTAGTTTATTGCAATTTTTCAATTTTTTATTTTGACCTACTCAGTAATAACATTTTTATGAAATCCAGAAATCCTTAAAGATCAAATACATAAAGGTTGTACTGTTGTTTTATAAAAAGAAATTAGTTGTTTTCTACTTTCTTGTCCAAATTTTTACTGTTCTTGACTTTTGGTTGGGGGCCGAGCAAATTTCACATTTCAGGGGCCAAAAGTTACCTTGAAATAAAAGTAGTTGAGCAGAGCTTGAATTTGGTTTGATTTTCTTTTCCCTTAAAAAAATTGTAACAAAAAGGTGATTTATATATATTGGTAGACAGTTACCTAATTTTGCAGCCATTTTATTCTGAGTGGTTGTTGTATCTAGTAATATCTTCAATCACAAGGGATAGCGATTTAAAACAAAAATAATTACATTTTAGTTGAATTGTGGGTATGACTCTCACAATAACTAATTTTGCTGGGCGATAAATTATATATATGTTTTTTGTTTATTTTGTTGTGACCTTTAGTCCAAATTAATTCATATTTCAATTAAACTAGATTAAACAAAAATAATAAAATAATACATCATTTTATTATTTTTACTATTTTCCAAATTTAATCCAGCTCTGAAATTTTTATTTTATTTTGATTTATTTATTTATTTTCGTTTTTGGATTATGTCAGATGGGGTCAAAATTCAAACAAAGAAACTTCGGAACCATTTCATAGTAAAAATAAAAAATATATAGGCTAAACCACATATTTTGTTTCGTTAAATTAATACAAAGCTATCTTGTGTTTAAAGCGGTTCGGACGGGTTAAGCCGGACGGTTCTGTTTAATACGGGACCTACTATTCTGCGAAGTACCGAACCAGGCCGAACTGGGTGTACTCCTCCTTATGGTCCAGCAACTGGGTCACGGCATCATTCAGGTAGAACAGAACCTGGCTGTCCGCTACGGGGGAAGAAAATAACAGACAAAAATATGTTCATAGAATCAGAACCGAACCGAGCCAATACAAATGAGGATATGCAGTTCCGACATTACCGAGGTACTGCTCTGCGGGGACGGCCGAACTCAGGCGGTTCATTCTGCTGGTTCTGACGGGATGGAGCCATTCACATCATCGTAAAATAAGAGAACTTTATTGATTAGCTGATTCACTTCTGAAGGCTCTGGATGATTCCGACTGGCATCGTTGCAGCAAAATGCGGCTCCATATATGGAAACAGGAAACAAGACCGGATGTTGTGAGCTACATGAATTTGAGCCCCAAGATAAACCTGCTAGTAAAGGTTCCGCTTCACGTAAGAATCAATAATAATAATAATAATAATAATAATAATAATAATAATAATAATAATAATAATATATTATTATTATTATTATTATTATTATTAATATTATTATATTATATAATAATAATAATAATAATAATAATAATAATAATAATAATATATTATTATTATTATTATTATTATTATTAATATTATTATATTATATAATAATAATAATAATA